ACGCCACCACCTATATATATTTTTAAAATTTCACATTATTTCGTTCAGAGAATGCTGCGATCACTTCACACGTAAAGAAAAACTAGGGGAAAAAAAACAAAGACAAAGATTCTCCAGTATAGCCTTAACGGACTGTTTGGGCAAGTGCTGTTAGCGAGCAGCACCTACGAAGGCCGGCACGGCACACGAGGGGGGTGGGTGGCCAACACCACGCCCGACCACCTTTGTCTCCCCAGTGGCGATCTTTTTACACACCGCACCAGGTACTAATTTGAGGCTGAGCCGACCTAGGGGAGGCTCAGGACCAGTTAAGATAATTGTCAGCTGTGATGCGGGAAACGAACTCTGGTCGACGGGTTCGTAGCGCGGGGCGCTAACCGCTACACTTCACATACACACGCATGCGCACTTCAGCACTTATCACAAGTCTAGAGAGTGGATGGTGATTTCCTCTCTCGCGCTCTCTCTCACTCTATCTCTCTCTCACACTAAGTCGCCTTCTTATCGCTCTTCTATCACCACGGCTCCTGTTCCCGTGACATTCCTTGGTCGATTCCTCCACCCAAGTGGAGGATTCGGTCTATCAGAGTGACTTTTCCATCTCATCCATGCTGTCTTCCACCACCACACCACCACCACTAACTACCACAATACAGGTCCAAACACTTCTCTTCCTGCTTCTTACCTCGCACTGCTTAGCCTTCGGAATTCCCTACCATCGTCTCTTTGCTCAAGTTCTTAAAACCTTGCCCGACACAAGAACCGTATCCACCCTTATCTATTAAAAACTTTAAGAGCGGCCAATTGACCTTTTGGGCCTGTGCTCAGCAACCATGATTATGGCAAAAAAATAAGCAAAAAAAATTAGCAGCCATTAAAACTATTAAACTAAACAATTATAAAATGTTTTACCAGGTAAGGACCACTGAGCTCTATAGCTCTTTTTTTAAAGAATCGACCTGTCCACAAATGAGAGCTAAACAAAGTGGCTTATCATCATGTGGAAATTTATAGCAGCCAAATGCTCTAACACGGACGCTGATTCTTAAATGTGGAGGGAAAAACTGGAGGACCCGGAGAAAAATCTACGTGACTATGGGGAGAGAGAGACACACACGCAAACTCCAAATATACAGCAGGCGTAAGGGTCGGGATCGAGCCGACTACCTCCTGCATACCAGGCGAGGGAGTTAACATCTCGCCTCTGCGGCGCCAGCTGGTTCCAACTCTCAGCTGCCCTAGCAGTGGGCATCACTGGGGGCAAGTTCCCTCCGATCTGGGGCAGGGAGGGGGGGGGGAGACTTCCCTTGTGTCCTTGATGGCATCACGGGTCGAGGGTTCACAAAGGCGAGCTGGCAAGTCGCGAGGGGGCGGGGGGACTGCGATGGGAACGCTGGGGGAACTCTAAACTCCACTCCGCCAACAAGCTGCTCGGCCATGACCTAACATTTCCAGTGTGCGCCGCACATGCAGCTCCGGGGACATACTTTCCATTCAACCCTCGCCGCTGCCTCGTCTCCCCCCCCCACCCAACTCTCCCCCTCACCCCTCTGGTCTCAACCCCTTGGCTCTGTAATGTTGCTATCGCTTGCTTTGTTTTTCACAAACCCCTCCACCTCCAGGGCGGTTAAGAGCACGCGGAGGCCCCCGGACTCCGCTCGCTAACGGCACGAGCGGAGCGCCCTCCTCCTCTCACCTCTTCCGGAGCCGTTTGCCCATCTGTCAGGCTTCAGGCAACAAAAGCCGTTCGGCCATATATATTGCGATTGGGCGGCTTAGCGAGAACACCACCCCACACCCCCCCCCCCCCCATTCATTACCCCACACAATCCGTTTGGCATTTTCATGCCCTGTTTACGCGACACTTCAACGGCTTCTCTCGCTCGCTCTCTCTCTTTTTTTTTTGCGGCTCGCTTTAGTTTAAGGATGTTTCTTCGGAGTGGAAGGTCATGGACCGCCGACTTAACCCCGCTTTGGTGTTCAAGTAAACGGGGTCTTTTGTCGCGACGTCGGTGGATAGGCACGCAAGCCTCGCTTGTGCCGGGCGGAGGGCCCATCGAGGCCACTTTGACATCTGTTGCGTGACAGGTATGGGAAGAACGCGGGGGAGGAAATGGTCGAGAGCAGGGTGTGTGTTAAAATAATGCACAACTGCAAATTGTACTGAGCGAATATACCGTTTAGAATGTCAACGTGTGCATCATCTGCAGCCAGAGTCTATCCACTGCTGGATCAAAGTCTCGCTATCCCTCGCGGTCCTACCATGCCACAATTCAACATTTGCAAGGACGTATTCACGTGTATATGTTGAACTTCTTCCGCACCGTACGCGGCCAACCATGCGTTTCGGAGGTGCGGACACACCAGTTACATAAGCATTATAAGCGCCACGAGGAGCTAGATTATGCCTCGCGAGCTCTGAGAAGCGAAGGAGAGTGTGTGGTTAAACCCGCCACCACCCAATACAGCCAATCAGTAAGGTTTGTGACGTAACAAAACATCTCCCCCTCCCCCCTCCCCCCCTCCAGCTTCAAGTCCCCCTCCTAGCGTCCACGCAGCGCTCCCGCCCCCCCCCCCCTGTCTCTCCCCCCTTGCCCCTCCCCCCTTTCTTACCTATATAACCTCTTCAGCAAAAACAAATATTTATATTTACGCGATCCAACTTTACCGAAAGAACCAAGAATACAAAAAAAAACCTCTATGATGGATAATATTGGCCGCGAAAGCCTACGTGTTAAACCAAGCGAAGGAGAGTCAAACACGTTGCTACTGCTTGGATAGGAGACCACCAAATTAAAAAAGCCAGACCGTGGCAGTCCAGCAGTGGAAGTGCAGCCCACGAGGATAGATTTTGGTCCACTGACTGGATTGAGTCTCTCCGCAATTGTTTCCAATCTCTGTGCGGAGCTGTGAGTGTAAATCCCCCGCATGTTGTGTGTTCCAAAACGCACGCGAATGATGGAATTTGGCCCCCAAAACATCCCGTCGATGCAGGGGCCCTTCTTAACGAGACATCCTTGAGCCTCGGTGAGGCTTTCCTGGGCTATTTAAGTAGGTGAGTGAAGCCCATTTGAACAGAAAAAAACCCCCCACATGAAGCAATGGGCAATTAAAGGGCGAAACACTAATGACGTTAAAATAGCAAGGAATTAACATTGCAGAATTTTTTTTTACATGCTGTATATCTGTAACGCCAACAGGGCTATATACAGTGAGGCTAAGGGTCTTTTTCTTTAGCCAGTATCTTCGTCCTTGAGCGTTTACCGCTGCATTTGCCCACCTGATTTTCCGTCTTCAGTCCGTGCGCCCGCACCAAATATTTCACTTGTCGGTTACCAACTCGGGATGCCATGACTTTTGCGCGTCCCCATTTCTTTACGTGGCCAATGACGGTGAATCACGTGACAACTATTTACAATTTCGATTTAAAGAAAGAACCAAAGAAGATGAACTATTTACAACATGACCGTTTGTGTTATGGTCGAAACGTCGTGAGAATTTTTATTGTTTTATATATATTTTATTATTTTATTGTTTCCCTTCAACGTGACGTTACCGAAAGAGCTAAGAATATGAATAAGTGGGGGGTCATCGAGAAATTCACTCTCAGTAGCTGTGTAAATACGGAGGCGTCACTAAAAACAAAGTTTTGCTATCTTCAGTTGTACCAATTATCTGCTGTGGCCCACGGACTCCCCCGCCCCACCTGCTCCCCTGCATCCTCGGGGTTGTCTCTCCACTTCTGTGACCGGGGATTTCACCCAGCACGGAATCCGGTCCGGGGCTTGTTGCCGTGTACCGAGTCCGAACCACGCTCTCGGACAACGACGCAACAACAACAACAACCGACGGCAGTTGCCTCCGATATCCCTGCGCATCCGATTTAGCACGAAAGAAGTTCAACGTACATACATACAACAGCGCGGATTCAGTGCGTTTAAAAAGACAACGCTTTCGGTTGCTCCCCTCCCCCCCACACCCTTTGCCCTCCTTGTCGTCCATTCTGTTCCGCCAACAACGCTTCCCGCTCGGGGCGACCGTGGACGCGTCCCCGCTGGCCCGTTGATAGCCGCAGCTAAGTTGTTGTTTTTTTTGTCGGAAGCAGACACGGGTCCCCGTGTCGCTGACGTCGAGTTATTCACGGTGGAATGCGGTGCACCGCGCGCTGTGCGGGGTTCGGGTCGCTGCTTCCCCCCCCCTCCCTCCACGTTATCTCAATGTTCATTCCCCACTCAGGCGAGAGCCATTGTCCGACGAGAGTGGTGGTGGTGGTGGTGGCGGCGGCGGGCGGTGGGGCTGATGAGGGGGGAGCAGGAAACAGCCTCCTTTCCGTCTCCGCGCAAGCAATAAAACAAACGCCGCCTTCACCCCGAACATCCTCCCTCCTTTGACTACACCTGCCCACACGCGCCCCAGAAAATCCATCACGGACATCAAAGTTCAAAAGCCGTCCCTCTGAACGCAAGGAATTAATTCTATAGCCCACACGAATGCAGCATCGAATTTTCATTAACCCAAACGTAGATTTTTTTTTTTTGGCGTTGAACAGTTTTTGAACAGTATATATGGAGTGCTCTTGCCAATAACAAGCGATAAATCACACAGTATTTGTTTAACAAAGCCTGACCCTGCTGATTACACCCAGAAGGTCAAAACTCGTTCAAGAATTCCCCTGCTTAAACAAATGCTGCTGCATATTGGTCGGCAAAGCCAACGGGCGTCAGGGTCGGGGTCGAACCCACGAGCTCCTGTATACCAGGCGAGGGAGTTAACATCTCGCCACCACGATGTGTATTAGATTTGGGGCATGACAACGGACCGAGGCCATTGTCGCTCCTGGGTCTGCGAGTAACCTTTTGTGACCATTTGTATTTGCTTGGCCGTGTCGGGGCGGCGGAGGCTTCTTAACGGCACGCAGATTTGGCCCAGTTCGTTACGCGAACCCGACCTCCAAATCAAACTTCGAATGACAAAAAAAACGGCGAGCGTCCCGGCCGTACCCGCAGCTCGTCCTGCTGCTGCCGCAGGGCGTCCGGGTCGACGGCGGGCGGCCCCAGCGAGGCCAGGACGGCCCGCGTCTCGCCCAGCCAGGGCTCCAGCTCCTCCAGCGTCTCCCAGAACTGCGACGCCAGCGTGTGGGCGCGCTCCAGCCGCTCCAGCCGCTCCGCGTTGGCGCCACTCGCCGCCTCGAACTCGCCGCGCAGGAGCGCTAGCTTTGCCTGGGCGGGGAGGTGGGCACGGTGGGGAGGTGTGAGAGAGAGAGAGAGATGATATTATGTATTGTGGAAAAATAAGAATAGGTTTGACCTTTTCTGGCAATGAAACAGGAGGTGTTAAGATGTTCAAACGCCAAATATAAACCTTTCGCAAGGAATCAGGTCTGCATTAGCCACACGTACTTGTGGTGAACATGCAAAAAATACATGCTCTGATAATACATGCACTGTCTTTGAAACTGATTGGCCTACTTTGATACTGGCAAAAAGGTCCCACGATAGAGGTGATATTGGTTTTTTTTCTCTCTCAAACTTCTGGACCTTAAATATGAATTCGATTGCACCGGTTTACCGATTGCATCAGTCTGCCACGCACTCTGACTAGTCGTGACCATTTTGAAAATTGTCGAAATAAAATTAATTTCACCGGTTCAACAACTGCGTGAGTCTACCACGTGCTCCGCTAGCGGTAACCTTGTCGTCTCAATCCGAGGTTTTACTGCACAGGCCGCGTTTGAATGCAAGCAGCGGGCTAAATAGGGGTTGAAAGCGCCAAGCCCTGTTAAGAGCCATACATGAATATTGTAGTGCGCTCCTTCAGCGGACAAGGAGGAGCAGCAAAACGACACAAATTCTCTTTTGAAGCCCTCTCGTCGTGGCCAGCAGCAGATCCCGACATTGGCATCGAGCTCCCGAACATATTGCTGCCGTTACACGCAAGACGGGTACAGTTTGCGGGTCCGTAACTTTGCAACGTTAAATTACGTGGAGCTGTTTGCCGGTGCTCTTTCTGTCGATAACACAGAGACACCACCTGTGTTTCCAGACACAACGGGGGTTGTCCCGCGGCAGGCCGTGTTTTCGCTCGTCTCTCTCCACTGTGTGTTGTGTTTTATTTTAACTTTAGGCGGTGGGATTTTGCGTGGCACAATCGTGAGAATACAGAGCGCATTCCCCAGGGGACGGCTCTCGCGCAAGTTGAATTAAACACCTCCTACGCATTCTTCACGCCGACACGGAGTGAGCGCAATGCCTCGTGCGCGTTTGTAGAATGACCAGCGCGGCACTGGTGATAATAATGATGACGACGACGATAACAATGACGGTAGGAAGAGGTGACAGTGGCTCAAGGAGGCCTTCATCCAGCAGTGGATTGACTAAAGCTGACGATAACGATGATGAATAATGATATTGGTGGTGGTGGTGATGATAATGAAGGTTGTGATAGTCGGTGTTTGATCATGATGAGGGTTGTGATGATGATAGTGGTGGTGGTGTTTTATAGATTATAATGTTGTATAATAATAATGATTACGATGGCAATAACAGTGATGATTAATGATACTGAAGAAGCTAATGATGATGATGGCGTTTGATGATGATAATATTTGGTGGTGCTAAATCAGCGGTAGTATTCATGAGGATGATGACAGTGATGTTAATTGATGATGATTTTGGTGGTGGTGGTAGTAAACCGGTGGTGGTATTGATCGTTCATCGATGATGATGTTTGGTAACGGTGGTAATACCGATGACGTCTGCAATGCTCCTGCTGACGATGATGGCGATGACGACGACGGCGCATTTTACGACAACGCTCGTGATTGTGATGACGACGACGTTTGACGACGTTTATTGCGATGACGGTGATGACGATGATGATGACGATGACGTCCGCAGCCCACGTGCCGTCGCCGCCCGGCACTGGCGACGTTACCTGCAGGGCGCCGTTCTCCTCCTCGCTGCACGTCGCTCCCACCTCCACCATCGTCTGCTCCAGCGTCTCCAGCGAGTCCTTGTGTCGCAGGATGTCTATGGTGAATGCCTGAAGGAGGACGACGTCGTTCGTTCATTCATTGCTATCAAGAGGATCGCGGTTGCATTATCGGGAGGGTGAAAAGACGGAACGGCAACCGCCGCCGCTGACGTAAAGCGTCTGCCTTCAATTCAGCGGCCTTTATTGAATGACACGCAAAGCGCTTGCCACACACGAACCCGCAATACCTCGCCGATGTCGTCGCGGAGCTTAAACCATCACGTAAACTCCGGTCATCCTCGCAGCAGCGGATTTTGGCTGTGCCATCGAACAAAGACGGCGGTCGCCACACCGCGCGCTTTCAGGTGCGCTTCTGCGGCCGTCTGGAACGCTCTTCCTTCAGATATTCGTAAGCCACTGGAGGTATGTACTTTTCAATTGTCCGAATTGAAAACTAATTTCTTTGGAACTACTTTCTGTGCCGAGTTTGTTGTCCTTCCCCCCCCCCCACCCCCACCTCCGATGAGCATGGTTGGCTACGTACGGTGTGAAGCAAGTTCAACATACATACGTACATAGACACAAGCGCAAATATATCACGTCTATCTATATCAGCTGAAGCCTCTCGCATATCACGTGACTTATGTGATTTAGATATATGTAGAGTTGCGTTTCGGATTTAAACATTTATGATTTTGGATATTTGGATTTTTAAGGATAATGTAAAACTTTTGGATCAATTATACTAGCATTCATGTGAGGTGCCTTTGTGCCTATAAAAGTGATGCCATGTGTCAATACGAAAATCGTGAACGCATTCCTAGACTCACAAAATAGATAGGCGGGCATTATCCCCTTCATATGTTTGTCTCTCCACATAAAATACATAAAACATGTATCAAAGTATTTCTTATACAACCCATTAGCCCAACAGCCTTCTGGAAGTGCACAATTTTTTGCAGCACTGATTCAGCATAAGCAAAGTGTGGAGCGGTTTCATCATCCAGTGTCTCATCAGCAGAGTCAGGCTCGCTTGAATCAATGCTGGCGAACTGCAAGGACCCTCTCCTGAAGATGTGCGTCTTCGTTTGACGCAACATTACATGATGCGTAACACAACGTCCCCGTACTGCAGGCGTCCTCATGGGGCAATCAGACGCCCTGATGGGATCCCAAAGAGGATTGAGGCCTTTCGAGCAAATGGCAGCAGTGGGGAAATGGCTCTCACCTTCTGCACCTGCAGCTGTGACATGGTCTGCTCAGGCTCCAAGCGGATGTCTCCCAGTGCCTCCAGCTTCCGCTGCGTCTCGGCTGCCCAGGCCCTCTCAGCGTCCAGAGCCTGCTCAAACTGTGGCAGCACCAAAGGTGTGGGCAGGGACGGAAAATAAATTCGAGTGGTGAGGGAGACCAGAGGCAGAGAGACAGACGGCCGGAGAGGCAGAGAGATGTATGCGTACACACGCGGGACAGATGAATGGACGGATAAGACGGGCAGGCAAGCGGATATTTAGACAGATAGATGAATAGACAGACAGATAGACAAACAGGCAAGCATATGAGATAGGCGAACAGACAAATAGATGGCGAGAGGAACTGACAGCCAGGCAGACAGGCAGATAGATGTACAGGAAGATAGATTAATGAATTGGCAGATGAAGAGTCAGTCAGGCATGCATCTAAGCATATGGACAAATAGATACATGGATGATTGAACAGGTACTGTAAATACATTGGCCAGTAATTGAATGAGTGAATGGATGAATGGATGAGTAAGTGAATAAACGAGTGAGCGATTGAGTGAATCAGCGAGTGCATGAGTAAATCATGTGAATGAGCAAGAGCATCAGGAGCGAACCGGCGAGCGAGCGGGTAAACAAGCGCACATACGATCGCACGCAGGCACGCACGCACGCACGCACGCGAGCAACAGAGAGCGAGCGGCGGCACCTGCTGCGACCGCTGGACGGCGGCATCGACGCGCTTCGTGCGCGTGGCCACGGCGTCGCTCACGGCCGCGTAGCGCTCGTTGTCCTGCGCCACCGCGGCGTCCAGGCCGTCGCGCGCCCGCCACGGCACCAGCGCCAGCAGCGCCGTGCCCACCTCGTTCACCGTGTCCAGCAGCACGCGCCGCTCCATCACCTGCTTGCGCAGGTCCTGCAACGACGACAAGACGGAGACAGAGATTCCCCCGTGTAGCCTGCAACGGGCAATAAAAGAGGCTGTCTCTGGGACAGGCTAATTAGTTTCAAGGGCAGTGCACAAATAACCAGGCAAATGTTTAAAGTTTTTTTTTTTATACCACAACTATGTGAGGTTACGCAGACGTGATGCCTTGTAATAGGTGTCTATCTGATGTTCGAACGTTTTTAACGGTTTCCTGAAACCGGAAAATAAAAAATGAAATTAAATAACTTTATTGGTACCGAGGCTCCCGCAAGGCACAGTTTTGTGCCAGCTACCATAGAGTGCTGCGGCTTGTGTCGCTACGGTTCTTTGCGGTGAGCAACGATGTCTTTAAAAACAACGGCGCGTTCCGAGATTCAGAGGTGAAACGGGACCCAACCCTGCAACTTGCAGACGCCTCGGAACGGGAAAGGGTTGACACCTCGTGCACTTCCGTCAGCAAGGGTAAAAGCCTTTTAATCATTCCAATATCAATTTTCCGCACCTGCTGCCTGCCCTGCAGCGTGGTGAGCTGCTCCCCGCCGGCCTCCTCGTCGCGGTCGTAGGCCGCGATCGCCTCCTCCGTGGCGTCGAGCCACTGGCCCAGCTCGTCGCGCGCCGCGTGGAAGCGCACGGCCAGGCCGAGGGCCTTCTCGAGGGCGCGCTGGGCCCGGGAGCCGGAGGCCGACACCTCCCCGTAGCGGCCGCGGAGTCCGTCCAGCTTCTCCTGGATCAGCAGGACGTCGTCGCCTGCGCGTCGGACGGATAACAAAAAAAAATATGTCGATTATATCCCGTCCTTGCGAGCGGACGATGGCAGCAATGCACGCTCAGGAGCTGGATGCTGACACGTCGAGCGGCCGCTGGCCACGACGACGGGAGGGCTTCGGGGGAGGGCTTGTTGTCTAGGCGTGTGCTGTGCATGTTGAACTTCTTTCCCATCCTGCGTAAGCCGACTGTGCTAATAGGAGGCGCGCTGGCACACTCGGCCGGAGAGCTGGCTTCGGAGGGGAAGTCTTTAGGACCCTGGCCCGGCAGTAAACACATCTTTAAACGGTGACATGAAGCCACGCTGGTTGTAAGGTCTGGCGTCGCGCAGAGAAATCATTAATGTTGCTTTATTCCGTGACGGTATATAAGAGCTAATCACAGTGGTATGGTTAACTCATCAAACCACACGCACTTTTAGTGTTTATTTTCCAGTTAAAGCGATCGTTACTTTGCCAGTCAATATCTCACGGCATGTGTCAATATCGCAAACTTAACTGCGCTCCCAAATAACAAAGCTACATGCTAAACATAATAAGCACAGATTTATATTTTTAAAAACTACCACCTATAAAAATCTCTGTAGAGAGGGCCACATGATGGGCATAGTTGAACATATATCAGCCAGTAAATTAAACACAAATACAGAACGTATTGGAGTTTCTTAAATTCTTCCACCTCTGTCCACCCAGCAATGTAAACAGGTGCATCGCAATTAGCCGATTATTGGCAGGCTGCATGTGGTGCAGTAAAGTGTGAGCACTCTCACCCTCTTCAGGGACGTCTGGCCAGCGTGGAAGAGTAGGCCAAGTACCCTCTATTGAGGCTGTCGAGAACTCTCCCTCCAGTGGATGCCCTTACACCAGCAGTGCCGTGAGCGAGCTCTTTACCTCTCCAAAGATGTTACATTTGTTATTTTTTAGAACGTTCAATAGTTGCTCAAAGTAATAAACTTAACTATTTTTTATTTAACCAGGTAAGTACCCACTGAGCTACAAAGCTTTTTTTGCAGAAGCAACCTGGCCACAAATGATAGCTCAATGAAGTGGCTCATCATCACGTGGAAATGTCGAGCAGCCAAATACTCTAAACGCGTGTTTCTAACAATATTATATACATCGTTGCAGATGATAAGTGGTGGCTGTGTTGCCTGTGACTTGGGAATAACCCACCTGTGGTCTGCTTTAGCAGAGCGTGGCCGTTTTTGATGGCCTGGTCCACATCCTGCTTCCGTGACACAATCTCCTCGTGTAAAATCTGTACGGTGATCAAGCGGCGGTGAGAGATTAACAATATTCAATACAAAAAAATATTCACACGGCCCCGTGAATACGCCTCGAAATTAATTTAAAAAGCACCCACACAATGCTAAATGAAATGTTACCGAAAAACAGATGAGAAAAAAGAATGTAACTTCTTGAGTATGAAGTGAAAAGCTCAACTGAAAAGGTCAGGCCAATGCAAAACGAAAAAAAAATCTGTAAATGAAGGCACACTTGAAATTCAGAAATTTAAAGATGGGAGAGTGATAATGCATGATTGCGGTTAGGAGGTCAGGTCTGCCAATTTGTGTCTGTGTCTACATCCTAATTTCTGCACGTTCTATAATGGGAAGTGCGTGTACCAGATGTTCATCGTATTGGGCCTGCAGAGGCTGAGGCCTGTAATCCAAGATGTCCCGCAGAGCTGCCAGACGGTCCTCTGTTTGTGGCAGCCACGTGAGCAGGGCCACTTCGTTCTCCCCGAAGATGCGGGCGTTCTCCAGCGCCTCGTTGAGCAAAGCGGCGCGTCGCTCGCTCCTGAGTTGGGCCTCTGCGTGCCTGGCCTGGGCCACCCCCAGCTTCGCCTGGAGCCGCTGCCCATCCTCACTGCAGCTCAGCCCCATAAGTGCTGAGGATAGCTCCTGGGCTTCTTCCAGAGGTTTGGCCCTCGAGGCAATGTCTTCTGCCACACACTGTTGTGTGTTCAGTGTCGTTAAACAATTAATAGTTTTAATTGTGTGCATGTCCAATTTTGTTCGGACGGTTTGTTGTTGTGTTTGTGGCGAAACAAATAAACCAAAATTAATCAAAAGGGGCATGCAAGGGTTATAAATGCAAAACATAAATGTAACAAAACACAATGGAATAAAATTATAATAACAAAACAAGCACATGTAGGTACAATTTCAAGGAGTAAAACCTTAAAGTAACTATTTTTAAGGGATGCAAAGGTTAAGAATATGCTGGCCTGATATGTCTGTGACTAAAATCTCACAAAATGTGACCGATCTCATCAGAGATCAGAAGCCAGCAGGCACCGAGCCTGGCTAACACTTGGGTAGGTGACCACCAGCGCTTGCCAGGTGTTGTAGGCATGGTGCTGAGGTGGCCAGAAGACAGCAGTGCTGAACGTCACCCCCTCCCAGATGTTGCCAAAAACGCATTCATGGAATTAGTCAAACTTGCCAATGCAGGACCCTCCTGGATATATATAATTGGCAGTATATGAATTACTTATGAGATACAATAATTACATTTTCATTGGCCATAAATACCAACATGCCACTTTAGTGATAACGACTTCTGCTCTGGATGAGAGCATATAATGAACACCTGCTGCCACACCACGTGGAATGACAATATCATGTCTAAAGGCAGTGGTACAAAATTCCAACATTCATATGCCAGAGACAAGTAAAAAGGGCATCCGGTCTGATCATGAAATCTGCCACTCTACGGTAAAACAAACGGGCAACGGGTAGAGGAAAGCTGTGGTTGTTGGGGGAGGCCATGGGCCGTGAAGGCCGCACCTTGTGCTGATCTATCTGCTCCTGGATGGCCGCGGTCTGCGTGCCGATGGGCTCGGCGTTGGACAGCCGCCTCTCAACGGCCGTGAGCCAGTCGAGCAGTGGCTCGAGTGTGTCGTGGAACCTCCGTGCCACCGACAGGATGGCTTCCAGCTGCCGCTGCCTAAACGCGAGCAAGCGCCGCGTGTGAAACGAACGTGTGGTGAGGGGGGGGGGGACGCACACATGAGCAGGAGTGAGCAAGCGAGTGCATTCTGTGGAACATGAACGTTTAGCAGTGCAGCGATTTGATGAATCGTCACGATTCTGACCCCCCGATTCTACTCAAGAATGGCTTCATTTTCTGTCCCGGGTTATGTACGTCTCAAGCAGTGGTTAAATGTTAGGGTAGAGCGTTGAGCTAAGTGCGAACACTGGTGAAATATTATTAAAACCTGGGATAAAACCCAGGTTTTCAGTGCTCATTAAATTATTTGAGTGTTATTGGATACATTTACTTCAATCATTTTCGGGAGTTATTAATCATTATAAGACGATTTTTTTCTACAGATTTTAAAACAATATTTCCATTCATATGGTTACTTTGTAATTTTCTTGTCATTCAACAGTGCGGTTGGAAAATGTGGAGTGAAATATAATAATGATTCATTATTATCGTCACTATCATCTCATCATATGCTTGGCTTCCCTACGAGTTACATCTCCTCTCCTATACTAAAAAGCCCTCATTAAGGCCTTGGCCCAACATCAGAATGCGAGACGCATGCTGCCCTGGTCGCTTATAACCGCGGCTAATGGCAAAGCGATGACTCTCCGCCACTCGCAAGCCCCGCGAGTGAGTCAGATGAATTCCATTCGCATTCACGTTCGGCTGCTTGTTGAAAAACCGGGAGCTCGTCGACCGCCCCCCCCCCACCCCAAAAAAAAAAGTCAGGCGAAGCGTGCCACTCATCCGTGGCGAAAAATGTTTTCGAGCTGCTAAGCTCTTTTCACACTCTTTCTGCCGTCGCCCCAAGTATCCCCAAGGCCCATCAGTGGCCCCTTCCCCATCCTCTCCGTTCTCCTCGACCCCACCTCTCTCGCCCTCCTCAACGCCCAGTTCTTCTCGGTCCCAAGTCACCGTATCCGAACTGCCCAAGCTGCCCCCGACACACCCGTGGCAACTCGTGGGTAGCCTGACCGTGCGCGCCCGTCCGTGTCTGGCAGCTGGGACGAGCCAGCGCGCAGATGCGTTCTAAATATACGAAACGCGGGGGGAGGGGGGCGGGGGGCGGCCGCTCTCGTGTTGCACGGGGATGCAATACGCGGGCGGAGGGCGCGGACGCGAGTCCAACGCGACGTCGGCCCGCAATGCATCGCGACGTGAGCCGTGGCGCCGCGGAGGACCAACGAAATGTCCTGAAATAGCTTTCTTTTAATAGTGCACATGCGTGCGTGTGTGTACGTATGTTTTTATCAACAAAGATTCCTGTAAAAAAAAAAAACTTTTAATGGACTGTTGTGGTGGCGGGGGAAAGTGCTGTTAGCGAGCACCTATTAAGCATTAAGGCGCAAGCAGCGCACAAGGGCATGGTGTGGCCGGAAAACCGTACCCCGGGCCGACTTTGACTCCCTAGTGCTGATGTATACGCATCGCACCAGGTGCTTATATAAGGCTGAGCTGATCTAGAGGAGACCCAGGACCGGTTCACATTTCGCAAAAACTGATGTTTGGCCATGGCCAGGAATCGAACTGGGTTTGTAGCGAAGTGGGCGAACAACTACACCGCCACGAAGCGTGTTTAAACGCACGCGCGCCGAAACTTGTAAGAATGAAAATCTCGCGGCACTCCGCAGCCCCTTGCGGGCATTTTTCCTGACAGTTACAAGAAGACCGTTTGGCCGTACAGACCGTGAAAAATTCTCTGGGTTTTTGGGAATTGATTACAAGAGACGGCTAATGCGGCTTGACACGAGGGCTATGATTAATAGCGCAAGCTGATCCGCCGAGAGTTTTATTTTTTTCCGCTTCTGACACTTTTTCCAAGAGCTCCACGAGGTCTTGATGCATTTCGAGACTCTCCGGGCAGACTCGGCACACCGGTGGGTTCCTGGAGTCCAGGAATTGTTTTGAAGACGAGCCGATCAATCACGGGACACGCCAACGCATCCGCCAAAACCGCATTGGCCAGGCCTCTGCAGAGCTTTAAAACCCGACCGACAGAAATAAATTGCACATTTGAAATATGTCGCTCGTGAAGTCTCTATCGAAAGAAAGGAAAGAAAAAGAGGGTTTTGTTTTTAAACTTACAAGAGACGCTCGCACAAATGACTGAATTTAATCCAACGACGATGATGTGAATGTTATTTTGTTCTAGTTTTTTTTAAAAACCTGTGAGCAATCAGTCCTGTCCTCTGAGAAAAACCTATCAGTCAAGGTATGGCGCAAGTCTTCGGACAAGTTGTTGTACAACCTTAGTTTTAAATGTACACTGTCTCAGCCAATATTGCCTATGACAAGTTAGCAAAGCACTCGGCACTTAGCCTCCATGGCATTAACCAGGCGAGTAAAATGTGCGTCAGCGTCGTTTGCTTGGAATGTATGCAAATATTATGCAAATTATACATTCCTGTTACATTTAGGGAAAATTGCCGCAAAGCAAACAAGACAAACGGGCACCAATATGAACGAGTCAAAATAAATTATTGTTTGCGAATCGAAGCACTGCTCCAAATTGTGACAAGTCATTACATCACTTGGAGAGGTGAGGGTGGGAGGGGGGGTGAGTAAATATTAACACAAGCTACTGCCCTTATAAACCCACTGAACCGAGTTCAGTTTCTGGCTAAGGTCAGGAGTAAGTGATGTCTGATCCTGTCCTGCCCATCCCCTTCTTCGCCAACCCGCATTGACCAGCGTGGTGAGGTACGGCCAAACAACCCCCACGGAGCGACGCAGCGTGCCGAGGGCCTTCATCTAGCAGTGGATTGGCACTGCTGGATGTAACTAAGTACTCTACTGCATTAACCGTCGGCCAAAATACCCCATAGTGCCGTGCAGTGGCGGAGATTGTGTTTCGGTCCAGGGTGAAGCAGGCTAAAGGCTGCGTCGCGTGTTGGCGTGTTGCGGCACGCCCTCCAGCCTCGTTGTCGTCCTAATCGGCGTCGTCGCGTGACTGCGAGTCAGAGCGGCGTCCTCGCGCTGCGGCCTTCGCAGAAGGCCGGTTCGCACGAGGGCGACCGGCCTCAGCGCCGTTTCGGCTAACGAGCGCGATTGACTCGGGGCCCCCTCCTCCTCCAGCAACCCCCTCCCGTCACCCCCCGCCCCCCTACCCTCCCCCTCTTCCTCCGACTCGTACAACCGTCGCGAACGCTCGCCGCCGTTACCTCTCCTGGGCCGCGGCGAGCAAGGCTTCCCAGCGGTGCGAGAGAGAGGCGAGCTCCCCGAGGATCCGCTCCCTCTCAGCGGGTTCCGCCAGCTCAGCGATCTGCTCGCCCTCCCGCCGTAGCACCTCCACCCTCGGCCGGTGGTCGTCCAGGAGGTGCTGCAGCAGCTGTGGGCGGCGGCGGGGGGGGGGGTCAAGTGACTGACGTGAGTCAGCGACGGAGCCTCGCGGTGAGACGCAACGCAAAGGGCAAGGTGGCTCTTTGTGGGTTACTTAGTTTGTCGACTGTGTTGTGTCTGAAGGCGGCCGGGCAGCTCACTGACGAAATCCCTGGGTTAAAATTCAAGTGGCATTTGATGGCAGTGCAGCAATGGATTCTTGAGTCCATCTGTGCAGAGCTTTGAGAGTTATCCCATCGTATCCCCGGTGGGGTTTTTTCGACCGGTACTCCAGTTTCTCCCAAAACAAACAAACCACCTACGCACTCCTTAAGAAGGAATTGGTCAAGAGGACAGGCTGAGTGAGGCATCCCGACGTAATTAAATGGCATTTTTATTGAACGTATTTCACACGGCCAGTGTCAGGGCTCATGAGTTACGCAATGAATTATATAAGGGGCAATTGCTCATGAGGCTTAAATATAGGCTCCACCACCTATGGCCGTAATCCTAGCCCTTACTCAGCACGAGATAGCCCAAGCCATCCATCAAAACCCTGACCCCTCAGCTATAACCCTTGCCCTCAGCTTTAACCCATCGCGAGAATGGTCAGAGGTCACGGCAAACCCACCTTCTGCTCCTGCAGCTGGGCCCGTACCACCTTGTACTCGGCCGCGGGGGGTTTCTGCCCGGCGATGAGCTCCTCCGTGTCCGCGAGCCAGCCCAGCAGGGACTCGAGGGCCTCCTGGAATTTGCCGCAGTGGAGCAGCGCCTCTTGCAGCTTGGCAGCCCGCTCGGCCACCTTGCAGGAGAGAAAGTCCGACAAGGCGATAGCGTTCGATGCACGCCTGCACCTCTCTAGCTTCACCCAAAGTGGCGGCGGCGGTGGTCAGCGCCTTCGCAAGGGGCGGGGGGACGTGCCGGGGCGGCTGGTCGCACGCGATGAGTTCTTGGAAGTAGATTCTGCAGTGTCGCCTTCCACGACGATGCACTGATTGCTGAGAAACTCCCGCGTCGACACATCTTGAGATGTGCAGACTTACCACGGAGAGAGACACAAAGACTAGCCTACGTCCTACAAAGTGACACAGGATCCATGGGACCTAGTGGCGTAGCGATCGAGCGTGAAGGCGGTGGGCGCCGCGGTGGCGAGATGTTAACTACCTCGCCCAGTATACAGGAGGTTGTGGGCTCAATCCCGACCCTGATGCCTGCTGTTTATTTGGAGCGAGCACGTCTTTCTCCCCGTGGTCACGTGGATTTTTCTCCGGGTCCTCCGGTTTTTACCCTCCACATTTAGACTCAACATCACGCGTTTATTTGGCCACTATAAATTTCCACGTGATGAAAGGCCCCTACGTTGAGCTATCATTTGTGATAGCCAGGCCGCTTCTGAAAAAGAGCTACATAGCTGCTCAGTGGGGCCTTACCTGGCAAAATTTTCGTTATTACAAAAAAATGCACGCGGGGGCCCTTAGGCAGAAGGGGCTCCAAGCGCCGGCTACAGCGAGCGGGGGAAAGGCCGGGCGGTGTACAGTGCCGCCCCCACTCTGCTGCAAGCACCAAGGGCCCACGGCGGTGCACGCACCTTGGTGTTGAGCGTGTTCCAGCGGCTGTTGGTCTCGTCGGCGTCGCTCTCCAGAGCGCCCGTGTCGGCGGACTTGGCCGCGCTCTGGATGAGGGCCTGGGCCTGGCGGTTGAGGGCCTGCATTTCCACCTGCAGCGAGTCCACGTCGCTCTTCTGGAACGCCTGCATTCACGCAGGGAGACGGGCAGAGAGTGAGGAGGAAGCCCGGTTACTTCTCTCTTCACGTGGGTGGTGGGGGGTGGCAGCAGTGCAATGGTTAGCGCATGACGCCATTCACTGCACCACCTCCCTTAAATATGAAGGCTTTTCAAACATACTCGCAATGTCTGCGCATTTGCGGGGAATACATGGCCGGTGTGGAGGGTGGGTGGGTGGTTGGCGTGACCTCAAGGCGCAGGTGTGCATGATGATGTCACAACCGTGCACTTGCCCGCCAACTAACCAGCCAGCCAGCAAAACTTAAAAAAAATATATAGTATGAAATGCAAGTATTAGTATTGACAAATGCTTCTAGCACAATAGTATTAGGCCTTGGTTCGCCATCAAGTGATAAGTGACATCACCACGGCGCTTGTGCCAGGCGAGGTGCACTTTGAGGCCACGTGAAGTGTAGGTCACAGAACAGACCCAAGTGTTATGGGTGGATTGACCGAGATGACTGACAGTTGCACCACCTGTGCTCGTCATTCCACCGACTTGCTGTGCTTAACAGGTACAACAAACAACAACATCAACAACTGCCATTCGCCACTGAGGAGGAACCACAGACGAGTGGGAAAGGCAGCAGCAGCAGCAGCGACGCGATGAACCGGTGCCCAACAATTTCCCAAGCTCTGCGAGCCTCCACATATTAAAACTCCATACCTCGAGAACTAATTTTTGAGTTCAGTTAGTTGCCCACGCCCCGCACCTCCGATTAGCACGGACGGCTACGCACGGTGCGAAACAAGTTCAACGCACGTACACACAAGCGGCGGTGACGTCACCGCGGCGCTTGCGCCAGGCTAGGTGCACACAGACATATGTGTTGAACTTCTTTTGCACCGTACGTAGCCAACCGTGCGCAGCGGAGGACCACAATCTGAATACAAAAAGCAGACACAGACACAAAGGGCCACAGCTCCCCCCATGTATCATCATGAAAGAGCACTTGGGTCCTCAGTGCCGTCAATGAGCATGTGCTGAGGCTGGAGGATCACGAGCGTGAGATGATGACGTGGACCAGCACCGCGCACGTGCCAGGCCGTCTTTGTCTCACTACTGCCTGAATGTCTTTGTCTCACTACTGCCTGAACGTCTGTCTCACTCCTGCCTGGCCGTCTTTGTCTCAGTACTGCCTGACCGTCTTTGTCTCACTACTGCCTGGTCGTCTTTGTCTCACTACTGCCTGACCGTCTTTGTCTCACTACTGCCTGGTCGTCTTTGTCTCACTACTGCCTGACCGTCTTTGTCTCACTACTGCCTGACCGTCTTTGTCTCACTACTGCCTGACCGTCTTTGTCTCACTACTACCTGACCGTCTTTGTCTCACTACTGCCTGGTCGTCTTTGTCTCACTACTGCCTGTCCGTCTTTGTCTCACTACCGCCTGACCGTCTTTGTCTCACTACTGCCTGGTCGTCTTTGTCTCACTACTGCCTGACCGTCTTTGTCTCACTACTGCCTGACCGTCTTTGTCTCACTACTGCCTGGCCGTCTTTGTCTCACTACTGCCTGGTCGCCTTTGTCTCACTACTGCCTGGTCGCCTTTGTATCACTACTGCCTGTCCGTCTTTGTCTCACTACTGCCTGACCGTCTTTGTCTCACTACTGCCTGTCCGTCTTTGTCTCACTACCGCCTGACCGTCTTTGTCTCACTACTGCCTGACCGTCTTTGTCTCACTACTGCCTGACCGTCTTTGTCTCACTACTGCCTGGTCGCCTTTGTCTCACTACTGCCTGGTCGCCTTTGTATCACTACTGCCTGTCCGTCTTTGTCTCACTACTGCCTGACCGTCTTTGTCTCACTACTGCCTGGTCGCCTTTGTATCACTACTGCCTGACCGTCTTTGTCTCACTACTGCCTGGTCGCCTTTGTATCACTACTGCCTGAACATCTTTGTCTCACTACTGCCTGTCCGTCTTTGTCTCACTACTGCCTGACCGTCTTTGTCTCACTACTGCCTGACCGTCTTTGTCTCACTACTGCCTGGTCGCCTTTGTATCACTACTGCCTGAACATCTTTGTCTCACTACTGCCTGTCCGTCTTTGTCTCACTACTGCCTGACCGTCTTTGTCTCACTACTGCCTGACCGTCTTTGTCTCACTACTGCCTGACCGTCTTTGTCTCACTACTGCCTGACCGTCTTTGTATCACTACTGCCTGTCCGTCTTTGTCTCACTACTGCCTGGTCGCCTTTGTATCACGAGCGATTAAGGGACGAGCGAGGGGGGCGATCCATGGGGCAAGTTGATCCCTGGACGACGGCCATGCGTTGCGCCAACGCAGTTATGCTCAAGGGGAATGGGGGGCACGGGTCAGGGTTCATTTACCAAGGGAGAGGTCACAGGTCACACCAGTGGAAGAGCACTACAATCACTCTCCCATGTGGATGTGGCTTCCAAGGCTTAAAGGAAGACCCAGCCACAAAACGAACAGCGCTAATCTTGTGGGGATATCTCGTCAAAATAAGGGTCGTCTGCAAAGATGCACCCCGGGACGTGAGTTCCCGGGGTCTGTCCGACACGCATTTAAAGTTTCATAATCGATGGAATGCTGTCACATCGGTGCAATGGTTAGCGCACTGTACATACAATCTGGAGGATTCTCCGATGTGGATGATTCTCCAGATTGTAATTCCAGGCCAGTTGAAACAATAGTGCAGGATTTTTTTTTTAAATCCGCTCCTTGGCCTCTCTCCACCCAGCAGCACAAATTGGGTTACACCACAGTTGATCCATTTGCAGGTTGCATGTGGTGGTGGTGGGTAAAATGTGGGCATTGCCAACTCGTCCGTGATGTCTGGGCTGGCGCGGAAGAGTAGGCCAAATACCCTATCTAGAGGGGCTCTCGAGATCTCCCCCGAGCGGAGGCCCTTTCCGCCAGCAGTACCACGGGCGAGAAATTGCAGGGCTGCACCTTTGCCTCACGAGACAGAAAAACACTAGAAACACTGTGATGTCTACCCTCTTCTTTCCCGTATTCTGGTGAACCGCTGAGGAAGGACCACAACAGCTTTGCACACAGCTGTGTACAAGGTTAAATCATTTATCTGCTAATGCTGCGTTGGCAGTGGTGCAAAAGCACAGTGAACAACAACACATTCGTCAACAACACTGCAGCTTTAGAAAAAATGGATATGACAGCCGACGTTTCGGGCAATGGCCCTTCTTCAGGGCACACAGAGAGGCAAAGGGGGTAGTGGTGCGTACAGAGTCTGCGTTCCCACTCACTTCCCTCTGCTGCTGTTGCCCTCCAATGCTGGAGGCACTCTGGTGATGTCACGGTGCCATCACTCCCGCACGTTTTAAAAAAGCGCGCTTCCGATAAGCAAGGTTTGGCTACGTACCGTGCGAAAGTGGTGGAACATAATCTTGATTTTATGCTTTCGTGACTGCAGGAATCCATACTCTTTGGTTCTTTCGGTAAAGTCACGTAGGTAGAAAATTAATAGATCACAACGTTTCGATCGCAACACAAGCAACCGTCATCAGGTGAAACATACACAGCAGGAGAACTGCTGACATAGGAGAAAGAGCTGCTGCAACAAGAGGTTATATAGAACATACATACGCCACGGTGCCATCACTCCCGTACGTTTTAATACGCGCCTCCGATTAGCACAGATGGCTACGTATGGTGAGAAAGAAGTTCAATGTAGTTACGATGTCACTGGAGCGCAATGGCAGTACACTTCACGGCAACTTTAAAATATATTTTTTTCTTCTCACTAACGACGCTTCAAAGTGTTGTCGGACAGCGCAGGACAACACGGGCCTAGGTTTTTTTGGGTGTGATGATGCATGCACGTACGTATGTACGTTGAACTTACATGCACCGCATCAATAAACTCGGGGAATAACATCGGACATTCAGTTAGAGACACGCGCGTCCGGTCACCTGCGAAAGAATCGGTGGGATGCATTCCGATTCGTACGTGTTGCATTTAGCGTTATGGCTTCCACGTGATGCCTTCAGCCGCAATAGGCTCCACCATTCAACGCGATGTTACAACAGCAAAAAGGATCGATTCTCAAATCCAAAATTAACCCCCGAATTGCGACACGTCAGGTGACTCATTCCACCTCTAATAGGTATAGATCTCTACAATATTATCTGTCCCTACAACTATTTTAGTTTTACACATGGCTGATGGAATGTGTTGAAAATACTCTTGATTTCCATGTGGAGGGAAAGATATGTTTATGTGGCGTAGTCTTCTTCTTCTTCCCCATAAGGCTGATGTTGATGTCTAGCAACAGCTGTTATCTGACCTGCGGCGGTCGAGCCAGATAATTGGGTCAAGAGCAGAGGTGTGGTGTATCGTTGTGATGACGCCTCCTTAGAAATCACCGTGTGAGTTTGTGGGTCTCTCTGTCAGACTATGGGTCTCCATGTGAGTCTATGGGTCTCTGTGTGTACATTTTGGGCCTGTGTGAGCCTCTGGGGTCTCTGTGAGTTTCTATTTCTCAGTGAGAACCGATAGATCTCTGTCTGCTTCATAAGGCTGATGTTGATGTCGAGCAACAGCTTTTAATTTACTTGCGGCGGTTGAGCCAGATAGATAAAAAACAATAAAATACAATAAAAATAATAAAAAATAAAAATAATAAATTGAAAATAATAAAAGTTTTCTATCTCTGACTTTACTGAAAGAACCAGATAATTGAGTCAAGAGTAGCCGTGGTGGTGTATCGTTGTGATGACGCCTCCTTCATATTTGTGAATCGGGTCATTGGACCTACGCTTGTTATATGCTCCACGGTCTGTTCTGGGTGACCACAGTCTCCGCGCACTGCTGGGGAGCATTTACTTTTCCACTGTGACTCAAGTAACCGCATCTGCCACGGGGGCATAGTACTGTCTGCTTATTTATTACGTGCTAAATATACTCCGCAACGACGCGAACGATTGTTTTATGTTACCTACGATGTAAGATCTGCTGGTTTTTTGAAGCTGTGCG